GAAGATTGTCCCTGGGCTAACATCCATGCCCATCTTCCTCTACTGTATATATGGGACACTGCCACAGCATGGCTTGATGAGTGGTGTGTAGGTCCATGCCCAGGATCTGAACCTCTGAACCCAGGGCCGCTGAAGTGGAGCATGCCAGCTTAACCACTACGCCACTGGGCCATCCCCAGAAATATATTATTTTTATATTTATTCTATGATGCCTAAATGAACATGGGAAATGTATTAAGAACTTTTGATTATAATTGACAAATCTTACTCTGGCTAGTTTAAGCAAAAAAATGCAGGGGAGGGATTAGATGACTTAACCACGGAAAAGCAAGGACTAGAACTAGTTTCAGGATTTTCTCAATCCAGAGAATAAAATATCCTCTAGAACTGTTCTCTCTCTTTCCATCTTTCTTCTTTTGGCTTCGTTCTCTCAGGGCTGCTGAGAATTCTGTGATTAGGCTTAGTTATTAACCAAGGTAAAAGAAACCTCCTCCCTCCACTTCTAATCCGCAAAATAGTTTGGGAACTCAGGCCCAGCAGAGGTTATGTGCCCACTGCTTGGACTAATCACTGTGTTGAGGAAAGTATGGTAAGCTCTTTGGCTCAGTCTAATGACAAGCCCCTCTCCCTCCCCCCCATGGCTATGGGAGACAAAGATACTATGTTGGCAGCCCCATCAGAACCATAGAAATGTTGGAGGGGTAAACAGTTCCCTCAAGAAATGAGTGAGGTAGTGTGAAACAGAGCTAGCTAGGTAGACAAAAATTATAGATGTCCACTACAGAGAATATTTGTCTGTTATTTTGAAAGCTGCCAAAAACAGTTTTAGTTATTCTCTACTGATTTCTAAGGAAAGTAAATTAAGTATTAAAAGAAATACATTATTTGTAAGCAAGAAGTATTATCCTTGTTTCAGTGCCTATTTGGATTTTTTTCCCCTTTCATCTGTATAATCTTTGTTAACATTAGTGTTGTAGTGTAAAAATGCTTTTAAGGCTTTCCAAAGTACTTGTTTTTCCCCAAGTTATTTGTTGACTTCTGTTTTATTGCTTGCTAGTTCTTTTACTACTGCTCATGAAAAGGATAATTTATTAAGCAGAAGCAGATCTCATCTAAGATGGACAGTGCTAGGTAAAAGAAAATTAACTTAGCGGTTTGTCCAATAGTAGTGTTTCTTATAAGGAAAACTTTCTGCGTTGTTTGAATTTACTTTAACATCAAAGTTAATTGTAGTTTTAATACTAGAAGAAAAATGGGGAAATAGCAGCATGGTGGTACTATTAAAAGAGTAGTAAGTCTGTTAACAGTATTCTATTTTTTTGAATAAATATTTAAGCCAGAAAATTCTTCTAACAGTTATTCCATAATTAGTCATTCATTCATTTTTTAAATTTTACTTGGTTCTAGGGATAAAATGGAAAACAAGATAGATAAGTCCTTGTTCTCAAAGACCTTATGAAGCTAAAAGATATTAAACAAACATTCACAATATTATGTAATTGTAATTATGAAAGAATTACAGGGTACAGTGAGAGAGTATAACGGGACTTGACATGTCTGGGAAATCAGGGAAAGTTTGCTGGATGAGCTAACATTTGAGCTGAGCTCTGAAGGAATGAGATGAAGGAGCAGAA